TTAAGACAATGTTGATAATATTTTTATGTCATTCGTACAGTGTCCTCTATGTAAGACAACACCAAACTACTAGTACTATTACTGGCCGCATGATAGAACTCTCGTAGCGAAATAACCATAGACTTAAAGAAGTCTATGGAAGTAACACTAATAACAACCTGCTGTTACAAACTTACAACATGATCGTAATACACGATTATTTTCGATAATATTTTAACGAGAGTTTGCTAGTTTGGACGTCGTGGTGATTTTTATTTTAATAAAAGTTAAAACGGTTCGTTCGAATAATAGTGTCATGGAGACAATACAGTTTGGTATTGGTACATTCAAAACCGCCATAAATAAAGTTTTTTCTTGTTTCTCAAAGTTATGTTTTCATTTTTAACTAAATTCGTTTGGCAACGGCTTCTGTTTTAGAATTGCAATATTGTAATCAATGGTTGCACTGGTTGCAGTGGTGCCAATGATATATATTATGTTTTATTAGGAGCCTCAAATCGTGTCTTCAGAATAAAACAAATTTGGATAGGTACCATTAATTGAAAAATATCCGACAAATTGCATAATATGAAAGCCTATATTACCTAGTACCTACTAGTCTACTACCTATGTCATTTGGCCAACTTTTTTTGTGTCTCTGTAGAGTTTGGTAGTTTGAACATTTCGTTTCAACATATAATTAATATATTAATATAACATACAATAATTGTCGAGCATTCGAGGTAGTAGGTGCACTAGTACTATCCACTATTGTACTGTTTACGGTGAGTGCTTTATTTTGTAAATTGTATCTGACTTTTATTAAAATTGGGCTTGAGGTGCCGTCAGCCGGCCGCTGCGACCAATAATTTATTGACCGGACTCGGTCACGGAAAATTCATTAAATTAATGAAATTATTAACGAATTCAAAAATGTTGCTCCTTCTAAAAGTCGATTATCATTATAAGATTGTATATCTATATATGAATTCTTATGTAATATTTATTAGAATGAATAATAAAATAAAATAAATATTTTTAGGTAATGCATTTGAGATCTTTAAAACATTTGTCTGTATCTATAATTGTTTTCAAAACTATTGTGTTCCCTAATTTTAAGTGTGCACCCCCGGAACCAAAAGTCTGCGCACGCCTATGCTTACAGATAATGAGGGGATATCTGTTTAAAATATCTATTGTAAGTTATATATTTAATTGTTATGTGTACTTATAGCATATTGGTTTTGTAATGAATGTTTATTTTTACGTTTACTACCTACCAGCTAGTATTGACAATAAATAGATAATATCATATTTAAATTTAAAATACAATATTTGTGATGTATTGCATTTATGGTTACCAGTGAAAACAGAAACATTAACCTTACAAAAACAAGATAACTCTAGGAGATTTGGAAATGTACTAGGTAATGGTTGAAACAAATATCAAAGTATATGAAAGAACGACAGAAGCTGTTACAAAAAAACAAAGTTTATTTATCAGGTACTTTCATAAGAAATTCAACATTTAAAAATACATACTCATTACTTGGTTCAAAATTAAAATAATGAAAAAAATAACCTACTATAAGGTGCACTGGATAATATTCTTAGGGCGTGTTGCATATAGAACAGTCTGTAAATTTGTTACCGGCCCAGTAATTAATTCATTCTATAAAGTTAATGATTGTGTTAAACTCATAGACATCATACTATATATATATATATATATATAAATATATAGTATAAGGTCTATGGTTAAACTATGGTAGCGTTGCGCCGTTGCATAAATAAATATGAATTATAAAATATAAACACGAACTAAGATATACAGGACTGGAAACGAATGAGTCGGCGGAGTGCGGGGTCTAGGCCAAATATACAACGCTTCCTTTTCTGACACCGGTACAACCGCGACCGCTGTGCCATCTATTGAAAAATGTTATAAGCCTTTAAAATATATTAATGAAAAAATGTAATATTTAATTTACAATATTCAACATTGTAACTATATGGAATATCCCAATATATTTTATTTAGTATATTATAATATATTTTATATTAATATATTTCAAACATAAAAAATAAAAACAAAAACAAAATAAATTTAAAAAAGAAAAAATCTGCTAAATTAGTCATTACTTAAGTAATAATAAATATATTTTTAGAAAGTTTTGCTGAAACATAGAATACTCAAGTAGAAAATATTGTTAAGGAATTTCGAAATTAAAAAATATAGGCATTTAAATAGGTAAGTTTTGTTTTTTAGGAAAACGAATTCTTCACAAACGAAAAAATATCATTACAAACCATTAAAAACGAAGTACAAACATATGGAATAAACATAAATTCAAAATTCCAATTTAGGGGGGCTGGGGAAATGGACTTATTTCAGTTTACATACGAATAAATCTTTGTTTTATTTTGGTTTTGGGTATTACGTTATCGGTATCGGACATTGTGAAAAAAGGGACTACTCGCTCCAATGATTAAAGAGGATTTTATAAGGAACTGAAAAAATTAAACAATTTTCATAACAATTTAAAATTGTTATCAAATAATGTTTGTTTATTTGATTATACATACATATATTCAAAAATAAATAATATTAGGTATCTAGAAAAATTATTTCACTATTTTTTAAGTGTTGTCATATAACGGTCACTCCTTACCTATGGAATAAGTACATTTTACTATTGATTAGTAACGATTTTCAAATATGTACACTTAGACAAACAGAATTTTACAATTTAAAAATACTTAAATATTAAAAATAAATACATATTAAATTGATGAAAAAGAGGTTCCTAAAATTGTTTACACAAAATAATTATTAATTGTTAACTTAGGTGAGTACTGCTGTATTTGTTTGGGTTTTAGGAATCAAGATATTATTACATTAATTTTTGTTCATTGTTTTATTACTGCATAATACATACCTATTTATGCAACTCACAGCATTTTGTAGGGTTTATACTTTACTGAAAACATTTTGAAAATTATTATCCTGGATAGGTTTACAATATAGATTACCTATCCAGAAATGTAATTATAAATGTCTTAAAAATAAGTTGTAACTGATTTTGTCCACTTAAAATTAAAATATAAATGCAATAGTTTGTCCGCTTTCATAGATTTAGGTAGGTAGTACATGTTTAGTTTATTATGGTAGGTAATTCATAGTTAAATTTATATTTTACAAATCAATGAATCGAAAACTAAAAAGAATAATAGTAAGCTAAAAATGATTTCAATGATTATAAATAACAGCTGAGCATTTAAAATAAATGTATGGTTTTTATAACAACACTATTTTGTAGGTATAGACATTTTTTTATTTTATAGTAAAAATTAAATTAAAATTTATAAATCCGTATCATAATATCAGAGATAAAAATGATTACAATTTTTTTAGGTATTATCTTTTATGTTTAACTTTTCTGATATCCAACCGTCATTACTTAATTTATAGTATTGTTAGTGTCAAACGTTGTTAATGTATCGTCCATTCCCTCATAATTGCAACCTACAACTTATCAACAAATTATTTTCTTCAAATTATTTAAAACTAAGGACGATTAAAATCGATAATGTGGGTAAAAGGGCATTGAGAAAATTGAATAGGCATAATTTAAGTATAACCGTATAATATTTTAATACCTATCACGAAGCCATAGTTAACATTTACAAAAAAAAAGATTAAAAAAACCATTTTTGATTGTTTAAAATACCTATGTAGTTTTTTAAAATTAGTGTATAGATGTATTAAATAAATAACAGTCCTCAAAAAAATCATTACTTATAAATAGAATACCTATATAGGCTATAGGTACTTTAATTGATCGTATAATTATTCGTAACTGCATCAGACTTTTCCATTGTATGTGGTAAAATAAAGAAATCGGCCGACAACAAAAATCATACTGACCCGCGATCCCATCTTAACTATAATAGGTATAAACGTTTATTTATCAATATCTTATAATATAAATATAATATATTTAAAAAGCAATAATATTAATAATAATAATAACAACAACAAGGGTTAAGCTTATAGCATAATATGTATAAATATTAAATCCCGCGTACCATTTGTACTTCAATATTGTCAAATAATTAACGTACCTATAATATGTTTAGAGAGATTATTTATTTTTCGTTGCTTTAAAATATTATTGTATATAATATAATATTATAGTATATGTTGTACAGCCAAGCAACAGTCAACAAGTGTATATATTGATTAATGATTGTAACGCAACGGTTAATTGTATGTTGATAATGGATTCTAACGAAGTTTTAATGAGTCAATGACTTGAGGTAATTTCGTTATATATAAAAATAAAATAGTTTATTGAAGTAAAACGAGTGAGAATGATGTGAATAACGTACTAAAGTGGAATATCCGAATATTATGCCAAGACACTGTCGTCGTCATTCGTCATATAAAAAAACAATATTATAAATAAATAATCAGTCTATTAGCATAGCACAACCACGTATAATTGTTGTTTTAATATGATTTTAAAAAACGCAATAAAACCTTAAATAAAGTTCGTACCTAAAACAGATATTTAATTTAATGTATAAATGAATCGTATTGACATATATTGCATTTGGTTTAAAATTACAAGGCATTATATACCTCTTTAAAATGTGTTTTTAAATAAGTTTTAAATACCTGATACAAAAAAAAACAAATCGAATATAATTTATATTTATCGATAGGTATTTCAAATCAAAATTCAGAATAAAACTTTTTGATTTGCAGAATAAAAATCGAAAACAATATTAATAAAATACCAATAAATCAAATCTTAAATGACAAAAAATAAAAAAATACAAAGTTTGTTTTGGTTTTAAGCCATGTACATTGTACATATTGTCAAAGTGACAAAGTATATAGTCATATAGGTACGTAGCTAATAAAGATATCATGACGGTTAACTATAATAGTGTATTATGATGTACCTAATACCTATAATATGAGTTTATAATATGCAATATAGGTAGGTACTTAGTTAACCAAAGATTAATAAGTATACGCTTTCAATTAGATTGAGTTTGATTTCTTTGTTTTGTTTTGACTTTTCGGACTTAACCTGAAACAAATGTTAAAACAATACAATTTTCAATAATTTTAAAAATATTTTAGAAGGAACTTTAATGTACATAGATACGTATATATACGTATGTCGTTTAGTGTATAATTTTGTATAGGTATCTATGATTTTTTGAATGTCAGGAACTCATTATTTTGAAATGTTTTGATACTTTTCAAATTTTTCTTAATGAGAATTGTCAAATATAGTTGTATGAATATCTTATATAATATATATATTTTTGATTTTTTATCATTACAGTTTTCTGATGGTTTTACTTTTTTTAAATTAAGGTAGAATGATAAGCTATAACTTATATAACTAATAATAATTAATAAGTATTTAAAGTTTAGAAAGGGAGACTGGAGTTGCACAGGATTACCCCACAAAAATGTCGGTTCACTGTTTTGTAAAGACTTCAAGGTACAAATTATGTTAAAAAAAAAATGATAATATTATTTTCAAGATAATTATAGAGATTTACTGTTTAAAAAATCACTCCGTAAAAGTTGGGTGCACTATATTATATAGATACTCACTCGTCGTCTCCGGATAAAACTTGCGCCCATTTTAGATTCGGTGCTGCAAGTCCTCTTCGGACGATTCCTGCCGGACGTCCGCCACAACATGTTAAATCTGTCGCATTCGCAAAACCATAATTACTACTACTTTTTCAACACACAAAGTGGACAACAAACTAGATTATCTTTCATGCGGTTTAAACGTAACAACTGTTTGCTTACAAGTTTTTGGTGATCGATTTTTCAGTATGTTTGTCTTTGGATCCACCCACGGGCCCGGTCTTAAAGTTCAACAGAGTCTGACCTTCTCCGTAAACGACCTGTGCACAATACATACAGACACACATAATAATTAAAACTACTCTAACGTCTAAATATGTTTATTATAATAAATAATGTCCGTACGATAATATATGCATTATACATAATATATATTATAATACACACTTCTTTATATTCGTACGACGGAGTGTTGTCCGACGATTCGATTTCTTCGATTAGAGGTTCTAATCGAGCCGGTCTCTTTTTAGGTGTAGACGACGTTACTGCTGGAGTCGAAAAGATTGTTTCGATTTGCCGTTCTTCGTGGTAATTCACCTTGATCGGGGACGAGAAAATAATGTTTATATTCATAGACTCACAAACCAGACCTTATTGGTTTTCAAGTTTTAGAACTAATTTTTACTTTTGAAATTGAATATACTAATAATGTGCGCAAGTCGCAATTTTGAGAAAAAAGAAATAGTAAGTATGAAGTAGCACGTAAAGCTGCATTTAAGTTCGAATAAAAGGAATGGAGAGACAAAGAAATAATATTTGGTCGATCTTCAAAGACTTGTGTAGAGATCTTGTAACTGACAACGTCTTGTCGGCTCTAGCCAACTTAGCTACCCTCCGGTAATCGGTCGCTCATCTGTAATGGAGAAGCCGAATATTCTACCCTACCTTGCTACCCGATCACGGTCCATAAATGTGTCAACTCGAAATACCATATATTATTGGCTATATCCGATTACACGTCTAAATTGTATACTGGTAACTATTCTCGCTTGTTACTATAATGAAGACCTAGAATTTTACGTAAACACTGAACACGTAGATACTGATTATAGTTTTATAAATACTTATTAATAGTGAAATGTTTATCGGATTTCGAGTCATTGGTATACGAAATACAAAATATACAATAATGGATAAACGACCGAGTTGTAGCTGAATTGCCTATCCAAAGCGCCGTGTGATCTTAATATTGTAATTAAGAAAATTACGTAAAACCATATTGTTATAATATTAATATGATTTATGATTTACCGGGAAAATTATGCCAACGGAAAAAATAAATAACAGTTGCGTCTTAACCGTGCATCGAGTGCCGAGTAAACTACCTATACGAAATTTGTCACGGAATTAAGCTTTTTTATAATAATTATCTGCAGTTTAATTAGGCACAAAAGTCTTTGCTAAGTGGTTCAAACACTCATACAGCATTTCGCTTACTTCGATGGACAGTGGTGAAGTAGTGCTGCTATTTGGCGTTCCCCAGAATTCTTCACTCGATGCATCGTAGTTGTAGTCTTCATCGGTTGGTAGACAACAGCTAGCTGTAACGGGACAAAAGTCTTCGGGCCATCTGTAGCAAAAAACGAAACGAATGAAAATCACAGGAGTGTAATTAAAAAAAATACGTATTGCTAAAAAACGATTCATATCAAAAAATAAAATAATACTAAATTCGTAGATATGTTTTGCATGCACTAATAAGTGGACAAAAGGATAGTCAGATTTAGCGGTGAATTAATGTTTTAACACGTCAACAAATTTGATTCGTATTTAAGATGCGCTTTAAAATATTTTTTGATTATTATCAAATAATTTTGTTGCATTTATGAACATTAAGCTAAATTTATAAAAACTCGTCTCATATTTTGATGAAAATTCGTAAATTTATCAAATATTCATACAATTAAATTAAACTTATAAAACGTAAACAATTTTCGTTCAGGAGAATCAATTCTGTGTCATTGTTTTGTTAGCTTTAATATTAGAGAACAATATTTATCAATAATCAAACGTAATGGTAAGAACAGTATTTGTGTTTATATGTTGATTCTTTACTATATTTTAATTTTTAAGCAAGTAAGTTGTAAGTATATAAAATATTACAATTTAAAAGTTAAAATATCGTAAAGAAGTCAATGTCCAATCTCAAATAATGTTTTATCTATAAGGTTGATATTATATTAATTTGCTTAGGTATCTAATATTGAAGCTAACAAAAACATTTTTCTGCTGGACGCATATTTGTCATGTTGTACGTTTGTAATATAACACATGTGGATTGTGGATATATAACATCCTCTTAAATCATATTACTTGACAAAAATACATCAAAAGTTGACTTATCTGTTAATACGAGTATTATTATACTTATAAATGTAGTTAATGAATTTCTTTACGATTAATTATTATAAACGATTATGGTGTGCAATAATATTATTACCGGTAGTCGGTGATCGAACAATACTCCACTCTGTCCAGACTGTCCGTCGAATGGTCGCGATTCGTGCCAGTTCCATCCAGGCTGCACGTCGACGAAAACCGGGGTTGCAGTCGAATCTGTTGTTGTGGTTGTTGTTGTTGTTGTTGATAATGTTGATGACTACTGCGTTGCAGTGGTGGTGACGAAGCGAGCAAAGCGTACGGTCGATCTGGTTCGAGTCCGTCGTCGTCGTCGTCGTCTTCTTCATCATCGTCATCGTATACGTTATTGATATCATTTCCGGTATTGTTGTTGACATAATTGCTATTGTTGTTGATGTGACCGAAAGGTTCACAAGGGCTGAGGTCTGTGGACATGGATACTGTGGACGGTTTCCATTTGTTTTCGGGATCCATGTCGAGGAAAGCGTCCGACTGCTGGTTTCCGTTGATATCGCAAGTCCTCTGACACTTGTCGCACACGTTTTCCGGCACGACGGTTCTCTGAGCACAAACGTGTAATGAAAGAAACACGTCGGTAAACATTTATATAATCGTCACAACGCTTTAGGTTAGGGTAGGTCGTATCGCGACTAAGAAGAACGCGTTCGAAAAAAAAATTAAAGTTTTGAATGTCTCCAAAAAATAATTGAGCTTAAGAGGACGTCCTACCCGTACACGCGTCTTCGCTCATCAGTATCAATAGTGTGCTGTCAGTTTTTATATTAGAGTGACTTGACTTATAAAACCTTCGCGGTAAGAACATTATCTGTGTTCTTTTTTTGATTTTTTTTAAATTATTTAAATTTTTAAGTGAATAATGAGCATTTTTAGTATTAATTTTTTAAATACTTATAACTCACTTAAAAATTAAAATATTGTAAAAATCTAACAAGAGAAAACATAATATAATGTTCTTACCTAAGAGTTTGATAATAGGTCGATTCACTCTTATATCAAAACTCACAGAATACTATTGAACTGGTGAACGAAATTTTGCAATGTCGTACGTAGGTTTTGGTTCTGAATTCGATTTCATCAAAATACTATTCCAGGGTTCTGGATCTCATTTTGCTTCTAAAAAAGGTTATCGATTTCCAGGCGTTGTGTGACGATGTGATAAGTACTTAGTTTATTACCCACAACAAAAACAAATATTAAACTAACTATAATCTTATGGTATTGAAATTTGTATTTTGTATAAAAACTGACAAATACCTGTTCTTATTTTTGTGTATTACAAGGGTTTCTATATACATCTCTTAAATAAGTTTTTGAAATTAATAAACTTCGGTTCTAAGGGTTTGGTTCCAGTTCTGGTGTATTCGAAATCTGTTTTTCGATTTGGCTGTCCGGACAGCATCATAGTTAAATAAATGCCAACCAACCAAGTATGGGTTTGGTTTGAGATTAATGACTATTGATAATATTATTATTATTTTATTATCATATACGTACTTGACTGTCGTCCGGACTGCTAACTATCGACACGGTTTCCGCAGCAGTTGCATACTCTATGACGGTTTCTATACCGTCCCTGGCAGCTGCCGCCGACGACAACCGACGTTCGATCTCCTCCCGTTTGGCATTCATCTGTTCCATGGACCACAGTTCCAAGTCATCGTCATCGTAACCACCACCACCACCACCGGTGCTGCCGCCTCCACCGCCTCCACTACTGCCCCCGTCAAATAAGCTACCTCCGAGTTCGCCCTTTATCCACTGCGATATGTGCAGCGCCTTGCCCTTGTTGCACGTGCTACTCTTGGTCATCCGCTGACACCTCTCGTCCACTAACGACGCGGCAAACGTCTAGAAATCCACAGATGGCACACGATGCAGTTGGATTTTTGGTGTTTTTTTAAACATTTTTTGGCCATTTATCATAACGTTTATACCGTACGAGTTAGAGTCGTAGGAGGTCGTCTATAATGTTTGAATGTATTCAGGTTTCACGTAATATCCGAATGTCATATACGGCGAAATAATATATTATTATGTTACCTATACGCCTATATGTGCACCTATATCATAGGCGCAAATTGGTGGGGGGGGGGGGCTTGGGAGGCTAAGCCCCCCCAAACTTAGCCAAATCCCCCTCACATAGCCAACCTAGGACATACAATTTTAAAATGCTATATTGCAATGGTCTGCTTGCCTTTAATATATTCAGCCCCCCTCCTCCAAGTCAAACATTGAAATTTCGCCTATAGGTCCTATATGTAGTGCTATATAATAATATTACATTATATTAAATGAAGTCGGGTTTATTTTACGTATGAAACACTGCAGCCTATTTCAGTAAATATTCCGCTTTATGAATTTAACATGATATAGTTCACATAAAATAACAGACAAGACATTATCGTAAGACTGAACAACTGATAATTTATTTGGGAAAATTAATAGTTATAGTTGAATAACTTTATGGCATATCATAGATATTTCAGTTATAACCGTTTGAAACATAGGTATGTAAACAAAAAAAGTAAAAACCCCATGCCAGGTAAGTTTATTAATACAGTACACTGAGGTACAGATCACTAACTTGTGCGTAAAATTTAAGTATGCAAACATGTGCACTGTGCAGTCTTGTAAAGAATTTTGCATTCGGAATACGTTTGCGAATAAATGGGTGAAATGGTAATCAAATGAATTTTTTCTTTTCGATAAAACAAAATAACTATTTCAATAATGGTTGCAATATTCCAATGGATACAGCTATACCAAAGTTTTTCGTTTTCCTACTTAATTTAAATTTGTAGGTGACCAGTGGGTTTAATATAAACACAAATATTTTATACATTATATTTTTTTTCAAAAAAAGTACTCGGATATAAAAAGGAGGAAAGTGGGTGGTAACTTTTCTGCTGTACAGTATAGGTGTCAAGTGTATCTCGTCATTGAGTAGTATCTGTAATGTAAGTGTTACTTTTGAATTCAATTAAATCAATTCACAAGAAAAACGATCTTATATACGAGCCTGTATTACTAAGTATATTTTATGATATATTATTTTTCTATAAGACATTAGTCATACGATTGGTTGAATTAATTTTTACTAAAAACATTGCATTTATTATATTATTAATACTTATTTAATTATTATAAATATATCTTCCTATATATTAATTTCATAAATAAATAGTTGTTATCAACTTTTAAATCAATATACTGACTTACTGTAAAACGGTATGAATAAGTTCGTGGTATAAATAGGCAATAGCATAATATTAATCTAAATATTTTTAAAGTCATTGTGTACCTATATAAAATATAATAAATTTAGTGAAAGACTCAAATACCACGAAAAATATTTTTTAATTATATGTACAACATAAGTAGGTACCTAAAATAAAATCGTTATTCTTCGTTCAAATATCTAATTTTGTTCAAATTTCAACAAAAAAATTGTGCCATATTTTTTTTAGTTTTTTTAGTAATTGTATACGAATTACATATGAGTAGCTAGAATTCTATTACATGTTCATATACTTAGCTATATAATTTGAATATTTCGTAAAATTGGCCATACGAATCTTTAATATTTCTAAATGGCTATAATAACAACTTATGAAGAACTTTGTATTAATTTTCAAGTGTTTTCACTGAAAATGTATAGAACATTTATAATAGGAAAAAAATTTAAAAGAAAGGGCCAATTTTGTGAATTATACCATATTATGTATGAAATTGTAATCTTAACAGTTGATGAAAATGTCAAGTGTCTATAGTAATTTATTCTTGAAGTATAATAAAATAAGAAAATCGATTTTGATGAACTATTGCTTTGCGTACCAATTCCGGTTTTTCTCAAAGTAAATATATAGGTACTAGGAATTTGACAGCCTCGAGTAGAAACTAGATTAATTTTGATACCAAAAAGATATTGGAGTTGAAAAATCAAATCATTTTTCCTACTATAAAATGTATCTCTGAACAAGGAAGTCTCAAAAAAAAAAACTGAACATCATTGTAAAATCAATACATTCATCGCTCCGCTCAGAATCTAAAAAATAAACGTATTCAGAATACGTATTGTATTTGAATATTTTTTTTTTAGGTATCTAGAATAATATTCGAATATAAAAAAAAGTATTAAGATGTACCCACTTTTATTCGAACCCCTTACAAGGCATGTATGCATATTGACAATAATAAATTTGGCCAACTTACATTATAGCTATTATTATAAATGAACTGTTATGATAACCTATGTATTGACAGCATAATTTTATTATATGACCTGACCATGTCGATATATTATGTACAATAATAAGCGTTTGGCGGTACAACATGCTCTCAAGTCCTCGAGGTTTTACATTATAGCGTTGTGTATTGATCGATCGATGGTTTTTTCCTTAGAAAATAACCCGACTTGCGTGATATGATGCGATGCTTATTGTGATAATAAAATAGCTCACTCTAATGCGTGTGTCATCCATTTTCTATACACATTATGATATTATACCTACTGCTGACATACACAAGCGAAACTATATAGACATTTTGGATTGTCGGGATGCTGTATTAATAAAGACATAAAATATTCAATCAAAATATCTCCCGAATTTTTAATATGTTTTAGAAAAGTTTTTCAATATTTTTAAAATGCATTAGTTCAACTAGCCCAACAGATACAAATAAGCACAATTACCGTACAGAACGAAATAAAAATCAAAGAATACCTAGTGGTTGTGTTAAATTGTAACTTAATTAGTTAATTTTATCTGAAAAGCTAAATTTAATATTGTGTTATAATAATATGTTAATAAATAAAATCACAAAAAATGAGTCATACTATTTTCTTTCGATATTAATTATAAATTTCGATAACGTTAACTGTAGATACTCAAGGTTGAGTTACATTTTTATTAAAACAGTTAAAGAATATCTTTTGATTTATGATAACCAGAAAATGTGTACTAACTAACTAAAAAAAAAATTGTCTTTAATGGTGGATCAGGGTTATTGAAATGTCTAAACGCTACGCCGTTTATGTTATGGATATAAAATAAGAATATTGTATAACCATTACTCAAAAATAACTATTCATTAGTAAATTATGCACAAATATAGGTCTGAATGAATAGTGTTTGATGACAAATATCCTGTTATTTTGTTATAAATCATTTAATTATATTATATTCATACATATTTAAATTGCTAAATCGATTAACGAGTAAGAACTAGTTAGCTCTCGGTTAATTTGTGTTTAAATACTTTATAGAAAACTTTAGAAATGGAAATTTGCCTCGTGCAGCAGTCTCAAAATGCATGTGACTCATAGGTACGCAAGATCGAATGCTTATTATAATTTCGTTGTACACGGTCTAACCTATATGGATATAGTATGTATACTGTACGAGTTATTAGAGATTTTGTGTCGACTTTGGATAATAAAATCAAGGGGTGCAAAATCAAAACCATATCAACTTCAGGTAGTACATTTTGGGTGATTCATCAAGCATGCTCACCTAAATATTTTCCTTAAAATATTGAAATTATTGAAATTCTGATTTTTGAAAATTTTAATATTCTCAAATACGATTTTTTAAATTATTGAATTTTTTATTTTTGTAGTACTTAAAGAGGGTCCTACATATATTTACAGATTCAAAAAATCAGAGTATGAATAACTGAATTTTTCAAGAAAAAAAGGTGGCGAGTGTGCTTTGTGAATCACCCAGTACCTATACTTCAAACCACCGCGCGTCGTGCTTTGGATTGACAATTTTTTTTGAGGTCACGATGCGCATTTAATCTGGTGCAGAATATCATATTTGCATAGCTCGCCGTAACATCACACATTACTTTATATGTTAACGAACGTTTTTGTTTAACTCAATGCATCAAATAATCAAGCACGAATGTGTTGTGCATGCTTAAAAAATAATTACAGGTAAAAAACACAAATTTGCACATTCTCGCACACTCGAGAAATCGTTTTAAAAATACGATTTTTTTTTTTGTATACATGCATTGTACATTATTTTTCCCTTAATATAAAATCGTCGTTCATCGCGTTCCATACTTTCTTCCTCGAGGTAGTTGTAGTAATAGCTGTAAACAAGAAAAATGATCCAGCTACTATCCAAACGGTAACAATTAATATAGATACCTAGGTAGGTAGTGATTTTAGAAATTGTTTTGTGCGCATGGTCTGCTGCAGCTGTGCGATTGAATAAAATTTCATATTATTATTACTAACAAGGTGATTTTCGGTATAGCTCAAAAAGCACTTACGTGTTTGGAAATATTTTCTTTACACAGTTTAAAGTTATTTTTAAAGAATATTTTTGAAGAAAACAATTTATGTTTACACTGTTCTAGATAATTGCAATAGTTTTTTTTAGTTTTTAAACGTGTTGAATATCTACATACTTAAACAGTATTGAAGTAGAATATCTAATTCGAGTTTAGAAGATTTTTTCGACAAAAATATTGTTTTGTAACGACTTAAAACTCTGTGAGGAAAATCGTTTCTAAAACATCGTTACTTATCATGATCATGAGTGTATACCATTAAAAGATTCACTTTGTTTAATGCGTAAAATAATTATCATTAGTGTAAAAAGTTTTTACCGTTTAAATAGTTATAAACAATATGAGAAAAAAAAAATTTGACCGTATTCATTGTTTGAAAACATTTTTATTCATTGCAATTAAGTACAAATATTTCAAATTTCAATTTTAAATTAAACTACAAAGAATTTACTATCAAAAACGATATGTCGACAAATACAAATCCATCACGTAGACAAGTTGTTCAAAACTTTCGGGACGGAAACATTTACACTATACAAAACATTTTAGTTTAATACGTATATATATATATATCATAATATATGACATTTACGAACAGTGAACTACTTAAAACGTAATATATATAATTATTAATATATATTCTATGTTTTAATATTATTTAAATGTTATAAAAAAAATGTATTTTAAATAAATATATAACTATATAGTAAATATATTTTATGATTATGTACACTATGAAATTTAAATATCATTAAGGAAGAAACAGTTGTCAAAACACGCCAAAACGAAATTCCATTGGCTAGTATTAAGTTGTACAAAAAAAAAAAAAAATCTTAAAACGACAGGCAGTACCGTAGACTATTAAGGGCTTTATATTATAATAACGTGTCTATGATTAAAATATTACTCTAAAAACGAAAGTGTAGAGCTCTACACGCTAATGTAATGTTATAAATTTTAATTATTTATAATTTAAGCTATACAATCTTATATGTGGATATGTATTTATAAACATAATGATATTATGAATTATTATACGTCAATGGATTTATCGATTTCGATGTTCCCATAGCATTATCGGTTTACAACTACGCAGTAATTAGACTTACAAATATACAGTAATAATTAGTCATAATGCATGTATACAAATATTATTATGTGAGTGATTTTATCATGTTACGATCCGCCTATTCCCGGCGTCAAATAGATGCTGGTTAGCCCTGTGCTCTAAATGTTTACTCTAAACGGCCACTAGATAAATTGGCAAAGCCACTACGATGTTCAAATAATAATAATAATATTATTTCTACTCCGAATAATATTTAAATTATCGATTACGGGTATTCAAAATACACATTGCAGTGCCAACAACTATACGTATACAATATTAAATAGTATTATTAATGCTGTCGTTCTATATAATATAATAATATAATATGTATGAAATAATTTTTATAGGTATACAATATATTTATACAGTGACGTATTTGAGCTGTGAGTGGGTGGATGGGTAGGTGGTGGGTTCTTGGTAAATTTCGTGAATTAATGTATTTTGATTATTGCATAAATATACGATGATGAAATTGTCACCTCATATAATATATTATTAAACAAAATAAAATATATAAAATGGACATTTGTGTGATAGCTGGTAATCTACTATACGAGATGGTGCAGATCTACCAAATTTATATAAGTGCGATCTACCACGAAATTTGAATAAGTACAATTTATTATTATAATTACCTATTAAAAATGAATATATTATTGTTAAATTCAAGAAGTCGACGAACTGGGGCGGGGCCTGGAATGGGAGCTTTCCGTGTCAAAGGGTTATAATTAACAAAAAAGAATTAATAATAATCATTCCTTCTTGACTGAGCTTCAGATACGTCACTGAACAACATATAAATAGTACAACATGCATTAATATACAATCGACATAGGTTATGTACTTATGTATATAATATTATAACTGTGCAGCTATTTAGGAGTATGACAACTATATTATGTAATTATATGTAGGTCGTTTCGTAGTTCGGGCAGAAGCTATGGATAAAATACGTTTAACATATTTTATATATTTATAATGGACAATATAATATTATAGTGTTCATTTCTAAATAAAAAAATAATCTGTTGAGGCATGCCTCAACTGAATATAATATTATAATTTATAACGTATGTCCGTCCACACTGTAAAATCGCCGTGGACTCCTACGAAAACCTACCTACTGCAGTACTATATATTATTCATTGCAAATCATAATGCACCCGATGAATGTCTGAATCGATAATCGGCCGGCGATGATAATTTTAATCGATTAATTTAATACCATAACGTATGATTATAATATTATTGATTGTTAATAATTTATCTATTAATTTACTTTTAGTTATATACATATATATATATGTTTATAAATATAATCATTTTTTATTGTATTCTAATAAAAAAATAGTTCATCCAAAAACGATGACGATCTCTTTACAAAAATTACTATAAAATAAAAAACAAATCATAATATTGATAGTTAATTATGTAAATGTCGAAAAAAAAATATAGTGAACGATCGAAGTTTTTGGATTTATCGTAATCGACAATGAGTGTATGCGTTATATATTATTTTATAATTAGGCGATCAATTAAAATTATACTAAATGTTATTAAGACTGTTGGAGCACACAATATAATTTTTGTAGTTTTATACCAAGAAGTTGAAGGTTAGTTTATGTATGTACTTCACGATGTCCGATTAAAGTTTTGAATGACGTTTGTATAAGTATGCATTTACTAGCTTCTTCAAGGAAGGTCCTTCTTCTACTTCTTTTCTAGGTTATGTAGGAAAAATATTTTTTTGATTTTTTAATTTAACAAGCCTTAAATCATTAAAAAAAAATGAAAACATTATTTTCAATTCCATATATTGAGTTGTAAACGTTAAATATTTTTCCTGCATAACCTATAAGTGTTAAAAAATTATTTTAATCAAATTTAATCGGGCCACTGATGGTAGTACATTATTGAAAATATTTTTCTAATTTCGTAGTTTCTACTAGAAAATTAGTGAGTTTGATAATTTTAGAATTTTCAAGTGATCTCTGGTCATTCACACTGACGTTCATTAATACAATAATGCTATAATATACACATAGACATTCAGCGTAATACAATATAGATTGGCAATATCACAAAAGTGTTCTGCTCCAACAGCCTTAATGATATCATAATAATAATAATAATAATAATTACCATTATTGCGTCGATTATGTGGGCAATCGTTTCAACATAGGTAGGTAGGTACTATTATTATATACACATCGTAAGTAGTATAATGCTATAATGTGGTGGGCGAGCACATTGTTCGCACAATTTAAGGGGGAGCCCCCCCCCCTCGGTCGTTATCGGACCCGAACGGCAGCAATAGTGCTATCTAGAACCTCGTGGGGCTGCAGCATCTATTCGGCCGGGAAACCGAATCTCAGGACGGCGGACGGACGGGATAACGGTCGGGCTCGGTGCCGGTGGGCGTGGTCGGGTTGCTTAGCGAGAGCTTACACTGTACCTTTAGCCTGTCCGCGTAGACGTCGTCGTCCAGCGTGGCCAGTGAGTTGGCCAACAGATCGTCCGGCGAGTCAGGTGGTTCCGACGACGACTGTCCCCTACACTTACCGTCCACGGCGAACGCGTTTTTCTCCATCGTCAGTCTATAAAATGCAAAACAGACAGTGTATAGGTACAACCTACGTTAGTATATTGTACAATTCAATAAGTCATAATATATTATATAAAATAAATATAAAATTATTTTCGATGTGATTGTTGTTATATCAATTTAGCGGGTCGATTGCATTTTCTCCCATGAATCGTCCAAGTAATTACTTTAGGAGCACGACATTAATTGTTCCGTACATCGAAGAATTTAAAAATGTCAGTTTTATTTTGCTATTTGTTTTACTTTTATACAGTTTTGTTTTTTTGGAATTTTTATGACGGTTTTTAAATATTGAATATTTTTTTTCGTATATTTCACAAGAATGGATAACAATTTATCATAATTCACACCATAAATTACACGATAAAATTAATTATTTGTTTTGCTTCGGCATTTGTAGGTTACCTATTATTTTTTTTACATTGTTACCTATATATTTTTATCTATGTACCTCTTAGTGGCTTTGTACCAAACGTAATCGGCCGTGGCAGCTGTTGCACTGCAATACGGTAGGACAAACGAAATTGTCGACTTTTCGAGGGCAGATACATGATAATTAGAGTATGGATTTTAAAGCAATAAAAAACTAAAAGAAAAGCAATAAAGTTGCCTAAATCTTCCAAAGAGGCAATAAAAATAGATTTTTAAAAAAATATTTATCACAAAAAAAGAAAAACTTTAACACCACATACTTTGCAAAAAAGTACAGCATTGTCACAAGAAAAAATGTCTTCACCAAATTCTTGTAAACAATCGCGAAGACAAGCACTACAATTAATAATTTTCGGCATTTTGTAAGTGACAATCGGTAAGAACTATAAGATGTTACAACGAAAACTACACTGTAATTCTGAGTAGGTAGATAATTTCTAGAGCAAGATAATATAATCTACTATATACGTATCTAAATTACATCGATAAATATATCCATAGATCAAAAAAAATGAGATAAAATTGATTACAGCCATTACCTTGAAAAACACGATTATTTAGAACACATTTTGAAAAACTGTACCAAAAATTGCCAAAAAGCATAAATATACAAAAAACGGGAAAAGAGCCAAATAAAATTTCGTGCCTAGTAGTATAGTGGTATAAATCGAATTTGTAGCTGATATAGCTTCATTTTAGAGCAATAGAAAAAAAAAGAAAATGCCTTCAAAATCCGTACTCTAATGACAATATACCTACATATACGAGTATATAAAGTAAACAGTTATATTATTTACAATCAATCGCGACAATGCTAAATCTCGTGAATTTAAATAATAAAAAATATAGATTTGTGTTAGGTAATCATTAATTTAATTTAATATCAAAAAATATTTTTAAAGGTATATTTTTCTTGTTTCTTAGAATATTAAAATCCTCCCCTTAATTAATATTATTTTTCTGGAGGGTGTATTATGATTTGAGAAGGGTTAGTGTGGTAGTCGAGGATTGGCTTGTAGGTTTATTTAATAATTTATATAATATATTACATTATAGTTGAAGTGGCAATAATGGGCACATCGTGTAAAAATTGCAGCTGTTCAAAAGAGTTTTATTCGACCCTGCACTACCTCTCACCCTATGAACCACATCACCGACGTACTTCGAGCTCGTTCATTTTAATAATAATATCCATTTAATACGCATTGCACCAGACGAGGTGCCAGTAATTTCCGACCTGTTTAAAATCCATAAAAATAAAAACTTTTTTTTTCAATGTTATTATAGTGTTTGTATCAACAATATCGCCTGTGTGCGTATTATCTATATTTCAACGTAATATTTTTATGGCATCATTGGTTGTACATGAAACAGTTTTTATGATCTACTAGCTGATCCCGTGCACTTCGTCGCCCGTTAAATGGATCAACTCAATACTACCTACTCAAACTTTGTTCAATTCATTAACGTGTATGGTGTTCAAAATTTATCTTATCTTTCCCGTTGCCCTGAATAAAAATTCTGAATCGCAGCAGTACATTATCAGGTAGGCAATCTACCTGCGGTAGATCGCGGACCCCGTGCTGTTTGTACGGAAGTGTATGATTTAACTCTAAAGTATCAAAGTTATACCAAGTTTATTTTGATGTAATACTGTGGATTAATATAATAAATTTGGTTGCTCGTAAAAAATCGCAACTCTTAAAAAAATTATGATTGTTGAACTCCTTTTGGGTGTAATTTTCTGCGGTAAGTGCAACTCTGCCACCCTGGTAAGCATTGTTCAATAATTCGATTTGATGCAAGCTTGTACCTGATCTGCCCGAATAACCAATGGCAACCAATAAATAAATGCTAATTTCTAATGTAGACTGTAACCAATGGCAACTATAAATAAATAAAAATAAAATTTCCAATTTCTATCGTGAATCTCAATGTCCCTGTTTCAGCACCTATTTAAAATGCGAATTTTGGCAAATCCTTTCTTAGCGCACGTCTATATTATAATAGCTATCTGTATGCCAAATTTCAGCCAGATCCGTCCAATGGTTTGAGCTGTGCGTTGATAGCAGTCAATCAGCTTACTGTTTTTTATAATATACAGATATGGTTGCCATGGTAATATGGACACACACACACACTGACATACATTCATTTTTATATATATAAGATTGATATGAAATCTTGGTAACCTTAGTAACCATGGCAACCTTGGTAACCATGGTAACATGGACACACAGACACACAGACACACACACTGACATACATTCATTTTTATATATATAGAAGATTATATTATTTATATTATAAATTACAATGTATATAATACACATTTGAGTACTATACCATTGATTGACCATTGGTAATCCCCCCCCCCCCCGATTGTACCTATAATAACTAACAAGTCACAACCAATGTGACTACTCGAAACACGACGATCCTAACACAGTTGCAGGGTCATCCTGCGACTTTGCGTCTCAAGACTGGCGTGGGTGGGGATCACACAATAGGTCTTAAAATGTCCCAATACTGTTCGATTAGTTCCCAATGCAAACGCGTGCAGCTTACATTTGTCTCTGAATGAGATTTTGCCACACAGCTTTCAGTTCGGCCTTGGGCGCTCGGAGAACGATCACTCTTCCTTTGTTTTTCGGCAGTCTCGAAAGAGTGCCCGACAGGTCGGCAAACAGAGGGCTGCATCCGGTCATGGCCGGACTACTGTGACACGACGATGTGTCCGACCCATTGCTAATTACCAACCGGAATTCGGTATCTGAAACGGCGAAAACGCGCAGCTCAAAAATGTGTATAATTATACCTACACAGTCGTAGTTTGTACACACGAAACGTCAACAGTTTAGAGTAATAATATGCATTAGCACCACCACCCCCGCCCCGTGAATTAAATAAAGTTTCTCCGTGTATAGCGGAAACCGTTACGACACCGTACCTATACCGTTTAATATGTACCTAATAAAGAGAATCACGTTTGATTAAAAATAGTTTAGTATAGTAGCAGGAATTGTCGGTATTTTATAGATACTTTTTTATATCTGTTGTATCTTTTGTAGGTGATTTGTTAATTTTTAATCTAGTTACTTTTTTTGTGTACCTAATTGGTCGCGAACAATTGATCGCCGGTGAATTGATCGCGGGTGAATTTATCGTGAATATAATTGGTCGCTAGGATAATTGATCGTCAAACGAACAATTTTAGTTTTTTAATTATTTTATTATACTAATTACATAGTTAATATTTAATATATATTATATACACATCCTAGTTTTATGTTTATTATTTTAGAAGATTCAAATACTCTTATTTATTTTTAAATAACGTACAGTAAATCCAATTTACAATGGGATTAACAGATATAATAATCTTAAATACTATTATATGATGTACACACGAGATAATTGAACTTGCGTGGCAATAACATAGATAAGCTTATACGACCATTATCGATTTATCGTCATCTATATTCCGATGGTCGTACCAATTTGTCATTACATACTTGCATTTGTTAGTCCATGCTAGTACGTTATTGTGTGTGTTTACTGTTTTTTTATTTTATAATAATGGAGTTCATAAAGAGTGAAAAAGGCAAAGATAAATTAATTTATAACGGTTATATGTATACTTTTGAAAAGGGCACAATGCAGGGCAAATGCCATCATTGTCTGTCTTAAAGAGAACAGTACGGCGTATTCGACAAAAAGAACAAGCTGCTCCACCAAACCCAAAAACTTTATTAGAATTGATCATACCAGACGATTATAGAACAACATTTGACGGAAAACCTTTTTTATTGTTCGACAGTGGTCCTGTAGAAAATAGAATTTTAATTTTCTCCACCCAAAAAAACCTACAACTTCTACAAAAATGTGAACACTGGTTTGCTGATGGCACTTTTTCTACGTCACCAAATTTATTTTACCAAATTTACACTGTTCACGGAATTCAATTTAATAATGTTTTTCCATCAATATTTGCATTGCTACCAAATAAAACGGAAACCACATATGTAAATTTCTACAACGCATTAAAAACATTGAACGAATCATTAAATCCAAAATCAATTATGGTTGATTTTGAAAAAGCTGCGATTAATGCGATTCAAAGTGTTTTTACCAACACATCAGTTCGTGGGTGCTTTTTTCATCTATCGCAAAGCATTTGGAGACGCTTGCAAAATTTAGGATTCCAAAAAAGGTACATGGAAGACTCGGAATTTGCTTTGCAAATTAGGATGATGGCAGCACTTAGTTTTGTACCAGAAGAGGATGTAGAAAATGCTTGGAATGAACTACTGGACTCAGAATTTTATTCACCGAACGAAGAAATATTAACACCTTTAACAAATTATTTTGAAGATACGTGGATTGGACGTCTTGATCGAAGAAATCGAAGGAAACCAGCATTAATTCCAGTGACGCTGTGGAACTGTTTTAAATATATTTTCGAAAATATCCCCCGGACCAACAATTCTGTTGAAGGGTGGCATAATGGATTTGCATCTAGTCTGAACGCATGTCATCCAACTATATGGAAATGTATAGATTCGTTCAAAAAGGAGGAGAGCCTTATCAAGTTACAGACAGAACAACTAATTGCAGGAATGACGATAGGTGTTAAACGGAAGTACAAAGACCATGCAGAAAAAATTATAAAAATATGTGACGACTATCATACTAGGAGTAAATTAGACTTTTTAAAAGGAATAGCACATAATTTTCAACTCCAACTTTAAATAAAATTAACTTTAAATAAATTAAAATGTATATTTATTAATATTATTATTATTATTTTATTTGTATTATTATTATTATTTATTTATTTATTATAATTTTAAATTTATTATAATAAAATTATTAAAAAACTAAAATTATTCGTTTGGCGATCAATTATCCTAGCGATCAATTATATCCACGATAAATTCACCCGCGATCAATTCACCGGCGAAAAATTCACCGGCGATCAATTGTTCGCGACCAATTCACCGGATACCAAAAAACATACCATACTTATAACCTAAACTAACAGTAATAATGGTGTGCGTGTAAGCCCCTATAATTTCTGATATAGAATATAGATGAGGGATTGATGTATACCTAAGTAGTTGTTTTTATATTACCTTTAATCTCATTAAAAGTAATCTTATCACTTAACAAGTCATAGATAAGTAGATAACCGTACAATACATTTTGAATTTGAATCGCATTATTATCTTTGTAGGTATATTTGTATCTAATTATAGTGTAATTATTATTTGAAAAAGTATCTTTTGCGAAATGTTGAATGTATCTTGTATATATCTACTAAGACGGTGTGACTGTATTTATTTGTTATTTTTGATTTGAAAATTAAACATTTTTAGAAAAACTTCGTAAGTAGGTACTCGCGGTTTGCGTTCACTATAGGTGATATGTTAGGTACTTACCTTTTTTCTTAACAGAGAACTGAGTTTGAGCAATCGAGGATAGTGGCAATGGTTCATCGGTGACAAATAACACGCGGTCCCTGCTAACTTTGGTGAATAACAAAATGTCGGAGAACAATAGAGCCCAGTACGACCTGACGGACCGTCCTTCGACGCGGCTCAGGTCGCCAGCGAATATCCAGTGGCGGTCAGGGGTGTTCAACGTAAAAGGCTGCCAGACATCGAAACAATTGTTATTGTTATTATTATCAATATTGAAAACATGATATTACACTAAAACCTTGACCTAACCACGATTTATTTTGACAATTTGGCGATAATTTAATGTCGTCGTCATGGCTGCGGTATACTGACCTTGCACCTGGTGAATACCAAACGGGCTTCTAAATCGTTGAGCGACAGTAAAGGCTTCCCGTCCACTTCCGGTTCCATTAGACCGGATTCCACAGTTATGAACCGATATGTCGTCTAAATAGGTAAAATCAATATTACCACCTTAAAATATTATTGCTATGACGTTTAAAGCTGGTCTTCACATAAGTCGTCATGGTCTATTGTCGTTTGCAGAGTACACCATTTGAAGCAAAAAACTTACAATCAATTTTTTTTTTGTTATAACTAAAATAGAAACTAACCATTGTTCACTATCTTCTGCGCTGCTGTATATATATATTAAACGATACACGACGGGTCTGAGTTTGACTCGAAATGAGCTGGATGGATGGGAGGAGTACAGAGGGATGGAGCTCCTCATTTTTCAGTTTTGCAAAATACCTAAACTACGACATAGCCTAATCAGAATTAATTTTTAATCAACTGTCGATTTCAATTGTTGTCAATAATACTTTCGATAAGGAGTACATTTATCTTAACTCTCTGTGTTTGCGACGAAACGTTAATATTTTTAAGTAAATTCTATTCGTTTATCCAGTTTAAGTCTGTTAACTTCATTCAACTATAGTTATAACTATAGGTATATCGGGGTTATGTGCGTTTACTATATTTTCAAACTTATTATTTTTTTTTTATAAAATTTGAAATAATATTATTATGCATTACTTATTCAAATATTACCTGCATTTCGTGGACTATGTGTGACAACGCTTCAAAACCTTCGTCGTCATGTTCGGTATTGATTTGAATGAGTTGCATGCATTTTAATACGTTTCTGTAATGCTGAAAATTATGTGACACAAAACAAAGATTATGTAATATTATGACGTTAAGTCTTTAAGTACTATATTATAACCTATATAACTATACTTCACGTATGTAGTGCTTAATATGTATTATATCATATAGGTACTATGTAGTGTCCAAGCCCAAGTATTTATATAATACGATATTAACGGTAGATAAGTATAATTACCGATAAAAGATTTACCAAAGCACGGACAATATAATACAATCAATGTAAAATACATATTATTATATATTTTTTATGTTTAATATCATTATTTATATTCAATGATTTTACTATACAATATTAGTTTTAAATTATTAATGTAAGAAGTATATTATACGGAAAGATTCACCAAGCAGGTTCGCCGTCACTCTCATTGTTTCGTTTAATAACATATTTATTAAAATTCAAATTTTTGGAATTTTTAGCTATTCTTCTTAAGAACCATATTTTAAAATACGTTTGAAGCCATCTAAGGAAAGTCATGATGTGACTATATTAATTTTTTCAATTAAATGACAATCACCATTTTCCCTGTACACTGTCGATGGATATAAATAAAAATTTAAAAAGGGTAGTAGTTCCATAATCCATGGTTATATGTTTGGCAGATAAGGGGCTTATGATGATTTTAAAATATTGTAATAATAATAACATTTAAAATTTTAATAATATTATCTATCAGCATTTTAAAATTTATAAAAATTGTCCCAGACCCCAGTATAATAATAATCATCTATTATTCTATAATTTTATGAAAACATTATTATATGTATAGTTATATATTTTTAGTATATACCTACATTTAAATAACTCAGAAACTAATCATTTGAATATTGATATAGAAATAATATCAACATTTTCAAAAAAATCATCAGCTTAACAATTTACAGTAAAAAAGGTTGTTATTCATTTGAATAAAATAAGTTTGTTTTTCCAAAGAGCGTTCATTAAATAGCTAAAAATCCTAATCATTGAAAGAATATTAAACACTAGCTTAACTTAATCAGCTTATTTTAATAAGTTAATTTTTAAAGGATCAAATGGAGGTGAACTTGCTTATTGGTGAATTATGTACACTCGTGTACATGGTGGCATACTAGCATGGTATGGGAAAATTTTTTTCGTCTAGGTTGAGAATCATCTATCTCTTAGATGTGCAACATTTTAGTTAAAAAAGTTCAACTAAGTGCAAACGTCTAATTTTACGTTAATGCCTATTAATGAAAATTTTGTATTTACTGACTGTTTACTAATATATCATATTCCCAACATAAACCTAAAAAAAAATGCTACCGGCTTTATGTGAATATAGGTACCTATACATTGTTACCTATAATCTATTCTATACATTATACAGTATATAGGTATATAGTGTATAGGTATGGAGCATTATATTATATTACTGTGGAGTTTTACACATGACATTTTAGAAAACGTTCGTTATGCGGTGAAAAATCGATAAAATAAATTATCATCTTTGATCTTGAAACATGGTGTGAAGAAGTATAATATTAGGTATCTAGGTATATAGGTACTTACCTCCAGCGGTTTGTGAATGAACGTGATCAAATCCGGCCTACGGTCGGGTATGGGAGGGTCTTTGATGAGTTCCAAAAAACTGGGATTTCGTATTTTTTCCACGAGTACGCAATCCGCGTGAATGATGCCCTTGCAGTACTTATAATAGGCTCCGTTGATCTGATCGATTTTCCTCACATACGCCTTGCACGTGTTTCGGGCCAGCATTTTCCAGTCGTTGTCGATTATACGCTCCAGGGTGTCTTCGGTGGTGCGCAGCAGCTGCGTTACGACAAATTAAGAGGGAAAATTATATCATAATCGTATATTATTATACTTCCGGAGGCGAGGTGCCACGAATTCCCGGGGGATGGCATAATGTCATCGGGAATACCCACTTAAATGGACGACACGATATAACATCGCATAGTAGTTGTTATTTCATATTTTTGGTACAATAATACATATATATATGTTTGTAAATACACGCTTTAAACGTAAAACGTTCACGTGTTGTGCTCTGCAGCCTTACCGTATCGTACTAATCGGTTAAATATTTATAATACATTCGAATAGCACGAGACACATGAGAAACTGCAGAATAACGTGACTCAAATATTTCATTCGGGGAGGGTTTGTCCATATTAAGGCAAATCATTGAGATTTTAAAATGTATATTGGCTAGTTGTATTTTATGTCCAATGACTACAATTTTTATCTATATAGAATAAGATGTTTTTTAGAATATTATAAAAAAAAAAACTTATTAGTTAATATACTAAATGTAATTTTTAATAAATAAATTATTTTTTTTGGTACATACAACCATTTTTTGTAAAAATCATAATGTTCAACACTTGATTTTCATTAAGAAATAATGACCTACGAGTAGGTACTTGTTCACATGGTAGAATTAAATAATTTGTTTAATAGTTATTATAGGTACCTTTAGTCGTAATTAATTCCACATATATAGACACATATATGTATATACTAAAGTAATAAAACGGAAAAAATAATTTAAAAAATGACTCTAAAAGTTAAACCCTTTACTTATATATCGTTTTGAATTACTTTATTTTACGTCTTTATTAGTGGTACGTATAAGTGTATCACTGATATATAAAACACACTGGGTACGTATATTATGTGATAATATTATATATGCAAAAAAAAAATTAATGACCCGTTCTATAATATAGTTCCATCGTCACGTGTTGATTAAAAAATAAGAGTGATACTGTGCCGTCGATCAAGTAGGAAAATCATCATAATTTAAAAATTTTAAATCAAATAATATAATATAATATAATATATACTATATACATACCTCTTGAACGTTTTGAAATAATGCAGAGTGTTCTTTGGACTTGAGCACGTCTTTGCGTTCGGCCAACGGCAACAGATACCTCCCAATACCGAATTGTAAACATAACACAAACTGTTGCTCGGCTGTGAGAAGTTGATGAATCCACCTGAGTTGCGAGTCCATATCGCCGGATAGATTCTTAACAAAATACGATATATTTTAATCAACGTCATCGCCTTTTCTTTTTACACCATGACAATAACATGCAATAATTTACAGCTGGATATTGTCTAACGCAACGACCGCAACGGTTGAGAGATATATTATGCTGGGTTGCATAAAAAATTTATTAAATTTAATGGTTCACTAAAAATGTAATGGACCAATAGTGGTCCACTGCCCACTAAATCTTGTTTAAGGGACCATTAACTCATTATTGATTTATTAAATGTTTTGTGCAACATCAGAGTGACTATTATTATGATCAAAAATTCTCACGGACAAAAAAACCTGTCTTTAAATAAATAAATAAAATATAAACCTATAAATGAGATAAATATTTGTTTAAATATTTTTATCAAAAGACAATGGCAGCCCGACAGAATAGTTACCATTTGACCGATACGACTTAATGGATTTATTAGCAACCCCCAAAAAACCCATATTAAAGTAATGAAAGCCAGAAATATTCGCAGATAGGCTTCTTTGTCAATAACTTTGTGAATTAAAAATATTTGCTGACATATTGATAATAATCGATTGAATAATAAGATATACGAAACAAATTTAAAAGTAGATTTACAAATTTAATGAGCCATCCTGATGAGCGATATTAAAGTTTAAATAAAAAATTATATTTTTACACATTAAAAATAAAAGGACCAATATTTTTGATTAAAAACATAACTGTTTGTATAACATTAATACGATTATCCTATACATTGGTCTATTTAATTGTAATTGCTTTTGAATTGAATTACGAAACACGAGTACTTATTGTATATTTGCATAATGTAAAATAAATATTATAAGTTATTGCATCATTATTTTTAAATAACCGAATCACTCCATTCAAGTCGATTCCAGATTAATTTTAACTAGCAATCTATTTATTTCAACATTTAAAATTCAAAATTGTCGAGTTCTTGTTTGTATTTATCATTGGGGTGTTCAAAATTCAAACGGAGAAATATAAAACTGTCAAATACAAATTACCTAACCTAAATTAAACACAAAATAACTAATAAGTGGACCTTTCAAGTGTATGCATTTCGTACCGAGTTATCGAAACGTACATATAATATTATTATTATATTAAAATTTACCAAATAAATTGAAAATAATTATTTCATATTACAGTACTGACCCGGTGACAGTTTTTGTTTTTTCTAAATTTAATCCATTTTAATTTACGTAGGTATAAAATATACACTCGCTAAAACGATCCCCCGCTACTATAATGTATTACATAATTATATGATTAGCATTTAAATAGTTTACATTGATATAATATTATGTTTTCCTCGCCGTCCTTACAATTTCTTTTTGTTACGCGCCGCAGGGCCTTAGGTATAGTGCCTTTTCGAATGAACTCCAAGTCATTGATTTTTAAATAAGCGTCATAAAATTCTTGTAATCGACTGTATACGACGAGTGTTAAACAATACGCCCCGCGGTGTTCAGACTTTTTAGATCGGCCCTGGGGTCTACACAGTGAACGTACTTTAACAATCCCATCACAATAATAAGTCATAAAAGTCCTGCGAAAACGTCAAGTGGGAGTTGTTCCGTTTTGCGACGTGGCTTATGTATTATAATATAGTCGTGTGGACCGATTGCATTTTGAGATGGGGTAACCATGTGCCACTCCACTCCGAGTCCATAAACTTTAAATGCTTTTATATAATATAAAGACTGAACTACACGTCCGAAATTCCAGTTTTTAAATGTTGAGATTATCGGAAAAGCATTCTGCTTGGGAATATGATGAAATAAAAAATGTAAGCTTTTGTTCGAAAAAATAATAACGGTAAAATAATATAGGTAGTAAAAATATAATTTTTTTTTCCTCGAAGATATTGTTTTGTACAATGATTCCGAGTTATGTGTAAGACAAAAACATTTCCAAAAACCTTAGATTATATTTTTCAACAAAATGCTTGTCAACCTATTTGTTTACGTTTTTAATCGGGTTTGTTTTTTATTCATAAAACAAAACGTTCGTAGGTCATTGTATTTACATAAAAAAAACATTATTATTTGTATTCGTATAAGTAACGGGTTCGTTGGCATGTTTTAACATTTTTTGGTAGCATATATTTTAAGTGCATTAAAATCTTATCTAAATCGACAATAATAATAATAAAAATAATAGTATTTTCAAATCTGACAAAAAATTGTGAATCTTGACATTATTGCAATAATGGCGTAATGTAATTTGCTTACATTTTTTTTATGTACAGATTAAAATAAGCAATTAAAATTTGGATAATGTGTTTCTGGGTTTCAAATTAATTTTATCTGGTTGATCAAAAATTAAGCATTATGTAAATTGTGTTTTGTGCACATTTACATTTTGTTATCAGACATTTAATACTACACCATTTAATGATATTAATATATACACATATATATATATATATATAAAAAAATTGTTTAATTATATAATTTATTTTAATTACCTTATTATTATGTTTACAAAATGTCAAACTCTAGGAAAAAATATTGTGGTAAATTATGTACTATTATTAAAGTATCTAAACGGCCATACGTATATAGAATTATTATATAGACTATTTTTTCAAATTTGCATATACCACTGTTAATAGTGGTATACTGGCACAATATAATTTAGAGTGTTGTTTATACTATTAATTATTATGTATTTTTTTTTTTTTTTTTTATAAAAATATAAAAATAATATGGGTATTGAACATTTTTATGTGTAGTTTGTTATACAGATTGTATAAATATTAATCAAAAAAAAATTACATCTACTTAAAACAACTGCAATTATTATCAGCTATATCCCATCGTTCTATAACTGTAATGTATACTGTATAATATTGTTCAAATCTACGAAAAAAAATATTTTATAATATTATTATTATTTAGGGGTCGGTTTGCCGGGAGTTTTGATAACAATTTCAGTGCAGCGATTTATTATAATTAAGTATAAATTTCCGGCAGCTCATCGATGATGGAGATGCAACGAAAATACTTACTATACTATACTTCGTGTATCCCATAATACATCAGTGCCAAAACAACTCGAGCAAAATTTATTGAAAGTGGCGTATTGTGTTATGCATATGTGTGGCGCCGTATCATATAATGGCCGACTAATATCTGTACGAGAGTGGGACAAGTCGCTAAAGTTTGAGGTAAGGTCTGAAACTCCGAAATCCCTCTTCACCTCTATTCCTGCGGACGCCACTTCAGATAATGTTGTGCACAATTATAATAATAAATTATGCATACAATTTTGTTTCGTATATTATCGAAAATGATTAATGGGACTTGTTTAATTATATCGCGAAAACGTAGTACACGATATTATATTGTAATGTATTTGCAATCATTATGATTTACGCAGTGTATGATGAAGCGAAGGTGAAGGTATCGATGTACATGATATTAATTACTGCACAATCAATTTTTCCTGGAAAATACACTTTTTAATTAAACCGAGGAGTTACACAAAGATGAAAATCCCATGATAAAGACCCTTTATTAAATCACAGCTCCACGCTGTAGATGAAAATGTATTAAGTTCTTTCACTTATACATAGACGGCAATTAATAAGAACGCTACAACCTATATACATATTATGTCGTGTGCCATCTCCCAGAAGAAAATCGAAATACCTATTTTAAATTCTCCAAAATGCATTCCCGGAAACACCACTCTTATATAGAGCTCTTTGGTCCACGTTAAATAATCAGCTACATAATGAGATTACACTGGATTACTCTACCTAGTCTACCTACCAACTACCATAAATACCAATGTCGCATACCTAAACTATTGTTAACTAATTAAAAAACGTTCAAAATAATCTAAATAAAACCTCGCAAAGCTCTCTCCGTTTTAAAACCTGAGAAAAACCTTCAATCCTATCCCATAACCATGCCTACCATAAGTAAGTCTACTACTCTCAATATTAGACGTCGCCCTAGTATAGACGGCAATATATTTTTTTTACCAAACTTCTCTCTTTTATTATTTAACACGGAGGTTCCCAAACTGTGAGGGCAGCGTCTCCCTGGGAGGCACGAGCACTTGACAATGGAGACTCAAGCCACGTGGGGAATAATGATTTTTTTAAATCAACAATAATTTTGTCTACAGTTATAATATTGTAAGATATATTGCCTTAATATGTGGATTTTCGAGAAAGTCGCTACATCCATAGCTACCGTTATATTATTATAGCGTCTACCGAACAATAAAAATATTTTTATATATAAATACTATAAGTTTGTTGTTTATTTACTCAAGGGAGGCGCAATTATTATTTTTATTTTTAGGGTAGCGTGTATTAAAAAAGTTTGGAAACCGCTGGTCTAACACATTATATTAAACTATTAATTTAACCATTCTTGAGTTCGGGGTTGTCGTTTGGCACCCTGACCTCGCTAACGGTCATTCTCGTCTTGAACGTAAATTGTAGTCTTACGCAGCTGTTTTTAGACCTAATTTGTCCCTCTGACTCACATCAATTATACTCCGATATTAGTCGTAATCTAATTAATGTCCCTTCATTGTCCACCCGTCGAATTATTAATATCAGTTTATTCATTCTTTTCTCAATAATATACAATTGATGCACCTGACCTTCTCATCCGAGTTTTGTTTAAAGTATCTTCACACAACGTTAAAGATCAAACTCCCTTTTACATCCCCACTCATTCCTTTCTAACCTTACGACTAATCATACAATCCAAAGAATACTTTGGCTGTCTAATCAAGTGTAACCCTTTGCTTCCACTTTATTCTACGCATATTCACTTATTTTTTACTCATCTGTACATTGTATTTATATATATTGTTAACATTACAGATTTATGCATTTATTAATCTAATAATTGTTATATTATACTTCAGTAATAAGTTTATATCATATGTTATATTAACCCAAATTCTTAATTGCTGATAGATTTATTCCAATAAATAAATAAAT